GCGGAATGATCGGCTGGCGGCGGCGAATCGATTTAGACGTCGCCACAAAAATCGGCGGCGGCGCGGCGGCGTCAAATATTTTTCTAACAAATTTTTTTAATTAAATTTATAAATTCATTGGAAACATTTTTAAAATAAAATTTATACTTTATTATGTTTATAACTATAATTTAATGATTTTATTAAGTTATAATTATCATGAATAAATATTATTTTATTAAGATTTATAATAATGATCTTTTAGAGTTCAGAGTGAGCCCAGCTATAGAAACTATACGCTCGCTGGGTGTGCTCGTAGCTGGAACGCACAGGACCTTTCTATCACGTTGTGACCGGTTTTTACGAATATTAGAATGATGATCCCTCAAATGTATGAATAATAGAATAAATTTTATTCACAAAACAAGAAAAAAAAATTTTATAATCAAAAACCAAAAACAAAATAGTAATCATAAAAAAAACGAAAAAAAATTGTTAAAAAAAATTGTTAAAAAAAAATTAACTAAAAAAATGAATTCAAAAAAAAAGAATTGATTTTTTACAATTTTCGTATCCCTTTTATAGGGAAGCAATAATCATCACAAATAAATAATTAAAATTTAACAATCTAAAAATATCTTCTTATACAATTATAAAATACCTAATCCTGCCTAAAATTAAAATTATAAGATAAAAATACATTTTTAGAAATTATAATCCCATCATCATAATAATGACTTAAAATAATTAACTTTTATAAATCTAAAAATAAAATGTTAACGCCTAAAACATAAAATTATAAAAATAACAATGACTCATCAAACGCAATACATACTGACTTTACGAAAAATCAAATTTTACAAATCAAAGTCTCCAAATTATGACACTTTCTAGTTAATATTGAAAGTTTAGAAAGATCCAATGCTCTTATCTTCCAAAAATCTAAGACATCTTTTATCTCTAAATTATAAAGGCGAAAATAATGAATAACACTTTTTCTAAACTAGTTAAATAGTGTTGTTGTTACAGGCTATTGTTTTAAATAGATGAATGTTTCGTAGCCAATGACTTAAGATAATCGAGTTTTGAAGCAACTTGTGTCGTTTCACATTCGTTTAATTCGTCCGTGTAAGGCCGTAGAGAGGTAGCGTGTTGACATAAAAATTCAACCGGAGTAATATTTTTTTCCTTTAAATATTCATTTACTATGTTTATTGATTGAAAACGAGGATCCAAAAGTGCTCCTAACACCTAAGTAAAAAATTTAAAGGAGAAATAATATATAAAATAATTTATGTATTTTAAAATACTACCTGAAGATAGGTTATAATCTATGATCAAATTTAGTAAGCATATTTTGTTTAAGGGATGCTATGGGAGGACTATCATATTCTTTTACAATATGATTTTTAATTTCACAACGAAATAATAAGGCTAAATTTATAGTAACTCCTTTTTGGACAGATAAAAATTCAGTTTTTTTGAAGGTTTTAAGAAAATTTAAAAGTTCATGCACCAAGTCCCAATCGGAGTTAAATAATTTGAGATCTGATTTCTCCATTCTATTTAATAGAATATTTATAGGATTTTTCTTATTGCCATTCACACTTTCCAGCATTATTAAAATACTATGCCAACGTGTAGGCACATTTAATTTTAAGATTTTATGTTTTTTCTCATATGATTTTCACTATCATCATCAAACCTCAAACGATCTTCATAAAAAGGATCATTATCATCCAAATCTAAAATATCCGATGTATATGATATCTATTCAAAACATTTTCTATTTTCTATATCGTTTATATTTTCAAAATCCGCTGTTTTTAATCTTAAGGCAACTATAACTTCTCTCACTTTTTTAGTGAGATTTTCTATTTGATTAACTTTTTTTATTCCATACTACTGTCACTAGATTATGTAATCCATGCCCCAAACATAAATGATGGTCGTATTCTCCTAGACGAGCACTTTTATTTACATTGGGTCCTGCATCCGTAACCATTTGAATTATCTTGGACCCTAAATCAAATTCATTTTCAACCTTTTCTATTACGGAAAGAATAGTTTCAGCGGTATGTTTTTGAGTGACATGATGTGTCGCCAATGTATAAAATACAATATTAAAATTATTATCTATTTTGTGAAATGTAAAGGTGATATAATTTCGCCGTCTATATTTATCGGTCCACATATCAAAAGTTCTAACACAAAATTTAGGACCTTTATTAATTTGTTGGCATATGTATGCTTTCATTGATAAATACACATCATCTAATCCACTCCGGCTAAGTGTAGTTCTATCTGGTAATTCTTTGGTATCTGAAATAATGCCATATTTCTACATAATAAAAAGTTAATAATAAAAATATTATGCCATAAAAAATTCTAAATGTGGGATGTTATAAAATAATTAAATATCTTAACAGTTAAAATAAAAATTAAGATTGCCCTATAAAAAATTATAATGATTTTACAAATAACCTTTAGAAAATCTTGCATTCCAGTATTATTTATAGAAGAGAATGGCATTAATCCTTGCAACACATAAGAACATAATTCCTTACCAGAATCCATTTTTTATCTTTAATAGGGTCAGTTGTATCTTTTACAATGGATTTGAAAAATAACTTTAAATTTTGTTTAGATATTTCTTCTTTACATGATAAATCATGTTTATCAAGTAAATGTTTTGTTATATTTGATGTGCTGATATTTTTTGAAAAAGATTTGATTGGATAACTAATTATAAAATTTACAAATTTTTTAAAATAATCAAAAAATTTACTCTGAAAACGAATAATTATTTTCATTCTCACCATCTTTATCAAGTGCTATTTGCAAGCATATATTACAAAAGACTTTATCTGTAGCAACACTGTTTCTCTTATTATTTGTGTCGGTTTTTAATAATCCAAAATGTTTTCATGCAAAAGAAGGCTTTGTTTGCAAGGATATACTATATTTTGTTACAGGGTATTGCAATGCTGCATCCATCATAATTGTTTTAGTCCTGGTATTTTTATATGTTATAATGGCAACAAAATAAAATCATTAATTAAAATTTCCTATTATGATAAAAAATAAATTTTATATAACGAGTTTTAAATTTTTTGAAGCATCAAAATTAAAGAATAAAATATACAATTTCCTTTTCAAATTTAATGTCCTAATCTTATTTTATCTATCATGTTGGTCACAAACCTGCCCAAAGTGTGCAAATATGGATTGTTACAAATCAAATTTATAGCAAATAATATTTATTAATTTTAAAAAATAAAATCGCATTTTTAAATATCAAAAAATATTTAATATTTTTCTTCTAATACAATTCATAAATAATATATAAAATAAATTAATAATAATAAAAATGTAAAATTTTTTGGCGCGCGGCGTCGGCGTGGTCAAAATCACCGGCGGCGGCGCATATATGCCTAATATTTAATATTAAAAAAATTTCCCCAAGCCTAACCAAAGATCATAACAATTTTGGTAGTTGAGAACTGGAATAAATATTTTAAAAATCTAATGAATTTATACAATGAAAATCAGATTTTTATGGGCATTGGTTTTGGCCTGGAAAGTAAAAATATATTAATATTGGCTATTACCTGAGACCCATATAAATATTCGGTGTTAAATATTATGCCTAATATATTTACAGAATTCCCAAACCCGGATCATGCACATAATTATGTAGGGAAAATTTTCTCAAGCTAGCCAAAGACCATATTAGCTTTGGTAGTTGAGAACTGAAATAAAAGTTCTAATTCATTTATTTCGTAATGTAGTTAATTAATCGTAGTGCATTGAAGGATCTTTCCATCGATACTTGAGGACAAGGGTCAGCTAGACTTACTCGCTAAAGGAATATTTTGGATAATTGTAAAAATACTTTGATGGGAATGTAATTTTAGGCTATATATTAAGAAATTATTTTTTCTTGTAATATCCATTACATATTTAGAGTTAAACAACAAATAAATACATTTCGACTCATAATGTCAACTCCTGAGCCAACTTATCTAATCGGTTTGAGCCTTAACCAATTTTACAACTTTAGGATTCGTCTTCTATGCATAAAATTGAGCAAAATTTATTAACAATAAAATACTGGAGTTGGTGCTCTGGTCGATGCCCGAGTCTATGAATTTGGTTCAACCAGGTCGACCCATTTAGTTGGGTTGATTCATTTTTTTGACCAAAAACCCAACAAAAATCATACTAATTTTACCCAACCAAGCAATTTAACCACACAACTGATAAGTTATTTCTACTCCCAGTCATTCTTTAAATTGTCCAAAGCCCTGCTAGATCTTTTTATTAATTATATTAATAAATCAATCAATCCAGTGTTAGATATTATAGATAGTTCATCGTCCAAAGCCCTGCTAGATCTTTTTATTATTTTAATAAATCAATCGATCCAATTGCAGTGTTAGATATTATAGATAGTTGATCTAATATCTTGATTTTGAAAATGTCATATATAAGTGGTAATTTCTAAAAATGAAACCATTCACGAATAATATATTTTTGGAAAAGGGCAAGTATAATAGGAACCAGATTTCTAACTTGCTATCATTGTGGATAAGAAATAAATGCTAAACAAAGACTAAGTACTAATTCATTTTTTACAATTTGGATTCAAATCACTATACTATTATTAAACTCGTGATAAAGTATACAGGGTAAACAGCAGAAATATATATTTAAAAAACAAAACATTAATCAATTAGCCAAAATTAATATTCCAAAATTTAAACAATTCCTTAACTAATATTGTTATAACTCCAATGAACTATTTCCCAAAATATCTTACTTTCTTAATTAATAAAAATAAAGTAACATTATTTTAAGTAAAGAAATATCATTATTTTATCATTTAATGCAGTCAGATCAACATAATGCCTTACTATTATATCTTTTCAAAGATGCTTATTCATCAAAAGTATCTCAATAATTTAAATAACTACAAATAAATCTCATTACATTTTAACATCTTGATGCAAACAAATATCCTGGTGGATATTATAAACCAGTCACAACTTTTTTATTATTTATATCCATAATTTATAAATAGTAGTAATATATATTTAAAGTTTAAGATGTTTCCTCATCTAATATTTTATCTATTTTTTTGTGAATTTGATTAGCTATTCTATCTAAATCCTTTCTTCCTTGGCTTGTGAGTTTTCTACCACTAAATAAAGATTTAAAGCCTATCACTTAAGAATGTTTACCCTTTCACTTTATCAAGTTCAACTAAATTCATCTGTTCTAATGATTGTAATATTTTTCTAGAAATACATGCTGAACCTCTTGAAAAATGACTTGGTTTTACACCATTGTTCTTTCGAGCTATTTTAAAATATAAAAACTTATACATTGATAAATACCTCCATAAATTTTAGTAAAAGAACCAACACCTGCAGGTCGATTATATAAATGCCTAGCCATTGAAGCTAAATAATAAATATTATAAGAATGAAATAAATATATACCTGCTCTAATATAAAACCAATCGTCATTTATTGGCGCTAACTCATTGTGCTTTGCCAATTTTACATGATCAACAAACTCAGGGAGTTTTATTTTACCACTTCTGTAATTAAAAGCATATTTTTAATTGTTCTTAAGAAATCCAATAATATTTAAATTATATATCAAACATTATAGATATTTTCTTAAAAAGTATATAGCATTACGCAAACCAATATATGAGAGCATATTATGGGATCGGCAATGCATAATTATCTAAAATTAATTATTACTTTTTTAAATGATCAGATAGTTCTATGACAAATTTTTGTTGATCAACATCTTTAGCCGAAATACCTGGCATTTTATAAATGTGAACAAATTAAGCAATCTAATTGGGAACAGGTTTTTACATTGAAATTTTAAATATTTAAAAAAAATATTGTTAAAAAAAATTTTAATTTCTCTTATATAATATAAATAATAATTTATATAGGTAAAAAATTTAATCTGACTTAAAATATACAATCTCAAATTTAATTTATAAAATTATATAAAATAAAATAACAAACTAGAATAAATAATAAATTGTTACAACATAAAAGATAAAAATTGACATAGTTCCGACTGCAAACTTTAGGGGTAGACACCAGTGCGTCGCTATGGGGGCGCAGGGACTCGAGCACCCTGAAAAATTTGAAAAGCCCCTTTAAGCAAAAATTTTTTTTTAACGGCTCCTTAATATCCCCTTGAACTAAAAGTAATTTTTTTTGATTGCCTACTGAATGATTTCTTTTATAATTCTATTGAGTAATATATAGATTTAATTTTATAATTTAAAAATTAATAAGTCTATCTAAATTATTCTTAAATTAATACAATTTTAATTATTAGATTAGATTAATACTTATAAATAATATTTTCACTATGTCAGCTTGCAATCAAATTCTGTGTTAAAAATAGAATATTAATATCACTCACTAAATATTATTTTAGCTTAAACAGTTGAAGCTTTATTGACTTTTATTATTTAAATATTTATACCCTAATTAAATAAATATTAATTGAAAATTAACAAATTTAATATTGTAATTAGCCGAGTTCAAAATAACTAATCAACTATATTATTGATAATTAAATTTAATTACCATGCCTCCTCTTAAAATTATTTTCAAGGTCCAAATCCAAGTGTAAGAGATTTATTTATAAAAAGTAAGTAAACATATAGTTTATATTCCTCTATTAGATATAATTGGTTATAAAATATTAGGTTAAATACCACTTTTACAGGCGTATTTAACAGTTATATAATATATTACAGTTAATATTTTAATAAATTTTCCTAATAAATGCTTTTGATAATAAATATAAATTGCTATTAAATATTTAACGCCATCTATTTATTTAAATTTTTTTAAAAATTTAACATTTTATTTATCCAAGAATGGATAAGATAACTTTTCTTTTCTTTTTTATGTGTTTTTAGGAAAGCTCTTTTTTTCTCATTTGAAAAACAGTTTTGAATTAAATATTTTTGATTTTATTACAAACTACTTATATACCAACTAGAGGTGGTGCGACAATAATATATAAAATCTTAATTAATTTCTTTTATCATATAATATCACTTTTTTTTAATTTATAATTACAAAATGTTTCATTTCTAATATGTCATCCCTGCCTTGTAAATAACTTAAGGCTACAATACATTTGCATATTTTCTTCTAAAGATTTTTAGTGTTTTTGTTTTATCAATTTATCTAGCATAATAAATTCTGATATAAGTTTATATAGTGAATGTTTGACTATGACTGCAAATTAACCAGCATCTATTATTTGTGTGGCTATGTAATTTAAGATTACTATTACAGCTGCTGAGAGCATATGATTGCATAATTTATAAGAAATAATGGTCAACTGTGTAGTTGTTTATATATCATTAAAAATGGAAGATAATCTTTTAGAAATTAAATATTTCACAATTTTTTTCTCAATTACTTATCTAGCTTCCATCATGTCATTTAAGAGGAAGCTCTAACCACCATATAGTTTTATGATTTGGCATAGGCGTAGCCAGGGGGGGGGACAAGGGGAAATTTTTCCCCCCTTCAGAAATTTATCACTTTTTGTAAATATCATTTATAGCTAATAAAAAATATCCCCCTTAGTCCTCTCCCCACTCCCTGACCCTCATATATGTATGCATATATCTTAAATAATAATTTAAAAGAAAGAATGTAAAAGTTGATATTTTTTTATAAAACTATTCATCATAATTTATAGATTTTTGAGAAAATAAATTTATAAATATATAAAATGAACCAAAAATGTTTTTTAATAAATGGAATATAGGCCAAGGATAAGTCTCAAGACAGAAGTGAAATTTATTATAATTATTAATAATAGATCTATAAAATTACTAAATAATATAATATATCAAATATAATTTTTTATAAAGTGAGTAATTTTAATTTATTTATCTCAATAAAAGTAAAATATAATTATAAAACTATTGATAAAATTAAATCATAAATTAAAAAAATATTAAAGCACAATATAAACAGTGGAATATTATATGTCGTCGATTTACAATATATCTAATTATCAAATGACAATCAAGTATTTTTACCAATATAGCGAATTATATATTTTACAGAAAACTATAAAATATTGATAAGGACATCAGAAAATATCTTTTAAAGACATTGTGGGGTGAATAATATGAAGATTAAATTTATATATACTTAAATAAAATAGATGGCGTTAAATAATTGTATGCATATTGTTGCTATATTTAATATTAAGAGCATTGATTAGTAAATTTTGTCAGATTATTAACTGTAATATATTCTCTAACTGTCAAATATGTCTGTAAAATTGGAATTTTACCTAGTATTTTATAACTAATTCTATATAATAGGGTAAAATCAACTATATGTCTACTTACTTATTATAAATAAATTTCTTATAATTGTTTGGAATAAATTATTAACATGCTTTTATATTAAGGTATATACAATACAAGTAATTTATTATATTTTTATTTTATATAAACTAATAAAAATATATTTCATATTTGTTCCAGGCTTATTTTTTTTATTAAAATTTGTAAAAATATTTTATGACTATATATAGGTTAAAGTAACCCGGCCGAAGGCCGGGGAAAAGCGGGCCGAAGGCCCGCCCAAAAGAGGGTCTGGGGGCAAAGCCCCCAGTACTTTTTTGATTTCCCCCCCCTTATGAAAATCCTGGCTACGCCTATGTGATTTGGATTGGTCGTTTATATTCCTTTCTCCAAGAATTGTTGATTTGGTTAGGCCTATAAATTTTTCCTTAATAGTCCATTCTATAAAACATTGTCTCAGAGTGTTATATTAGTTTCTTGACCTATTGTCAATGTAAGTTGCTAATTTTATAATATGTAGTTTTTAAAAATATGTCATTGAGTCACATAAAATTATTCTGGTTAAATTAACAAGTTTATTCTTATTTATATATATTAGTTATTAATTAGCTTTTATAATAATACTTACTAATAATTTAGGGGAAAATCATATAATTCTAGTATTAATAACTTACATCTAATAAAAAATCAAGTACTGATTTTTAACATTTGAAGAAAAAGAGATCGCCAAAATACTTTTTTATAAATTGGAACTTGTACAAAATTTAAATAATCAGAATATTGAAATTCTAGATACTAAGATAATTTCGATGATGATATTGAAGATTTATTAAAGTCGCATTAAGCCATAATAAGAATAATTCTCTGGGAGAAAATTATAATAAACTAATAGATAGCCCGTCAAAAATATATCCAATTTATTTTATTTTTAAATCCCCCCCTCCCCATTCAGGTCAAGTAAAACCAATGTCATTGAGTCCAACCCATTAGGACTAAGAGTGGAAACTATTTTTTGAGTCAAAATATATTTAAATGAGCTTTTACCCAATATCAAAATTCTTTGTAAATATATTACTGATTACATATGATTAACATTTAACATTAAAAAATTTCAAGCCAGGTCCAAGCTCATAATATTTGGAAAAAATTTCTAAGCGTCCAAGACTTTATAATTTTTAAAAATATTTCTCAAGCCTAGCTCAACCCATAATAATTTTGAAAATTTTTTCCTAGCCCGGCCCATAATAATTTATAAAAGATATTCCCAAGTCAAGTGCAAGCAAATATTAATCTTGAGGAATATTTTCCAAGCCCAGTCGAACCCATATTAATTTTCAAAACTTTTTCCCAAACCCTGAGATTGTTAAATTTCTAAATAATTTATCAACACATGAAGGGGAAATCTCGGATTAGTGGGTTAACTCCTTTTATCAAAAAATTTGATAAGGGCTATCTATATCTTTATGTTAAGTACAAAAAAATGCTATCTATTTAAATTACAAAAATGCCATACAATACTAATGAAACTTATAAGCAATTTATTTAATTTTTTAAGAAATTTGTTTTTCTTGCCATATAAATTTAGGTATTTTTTTAAAAAATGATGAGGATTAATTATTATTTTGTGTGTCTGATAAAATTAAGAGCAAATCCTTTATGACATTTTAATTTATGATGGAAAAGCGACAAAATAAATCTGGGCAGTCGTCTGCAGAGTGAATAATTAATGTATAATATCATCCCATTTAGGGTTGTAGGTGAAAGTAGCGAATAATGACGGATTACCAATGCAGTGTACAACCCCATTGCGTCCTGGTAAAGCTGAGGCCTTGGGCCTCTGGTAAAAGAAGAACTCAAAATGATATTTTTGCTAAAGTGTCAGTTTTGGTATCCCCCTCTAAAATAGAATCATGAACGACATTGTCAACTCAACCATAAAACGGTCGTAAGTATTGTTATAAAGGCCATGACAAAACTACCGCATTTTTCCCATTAATAATGTTAATGAAATAGGCCGCACTACACATTCACGTTTGAACATCCCTCTAAATATTCATGAAAGTTCCTCACGGAATCGGATAAAGTATTATTTATATTAACTCCTAGTGAGGTGAATGATAGTGGAATTAAATGCTTATATTTGTTAAAAATTAGGCAGAAGTGGCATAGGGATTGTGGTAGTGGTTATAGAAATATCATTTAGAGGCAACTGGGTGAATATAAAATAAACATATAGATATAAAACATTAGATAAAAAAACAAAATAAACCTCCAGAGGAGTTCATAGTTCCTTATTATCTTGGCCACCAGTAACTCTAGAACGGGTAAGGCGTTTGTTGAATCGCTATTTTTTTCTTTGCTTATCTTTAATAATAGATTCATCATGTTTTGTAACAATGTGAGGGATTAAGATTGGGTTAGCCTAGACAAATAAAGAAATCAGCCATAAATATAAATAAACTATTGTTGAAATTAAACAAACATTAAAATACTGTAAACCTGTAGAGGAGTCAATAATAG